GAATTTTTTTTGGATAAATTGAATACATGTAATAAGGGTAAACTTGGAAAGCAAAAGTTAGCTTGTATAATATATTAATGGCATTGTTTTAAGTGTAGAGAGAATGACACATGTCAAGCAAAGAGGGGAGAAGGTCCAAAGGAGAAGGTTAGAGAGAAGGTTGCTAGCATTCCCCGAATATATTCCCTTGGATGGTTTTAAGTTTGATCTGAACCGTCCAATTACTCAATACTTAAAGGCGTGATTAGTTTAAGATGACAGTGCGTGATTGGTTTAAGATACCGTCACCGGGATGACAATGTGTGATTACTTTTCTCGATGCCAATTTGTTTTTTTTATTATTTTCGTTGCCAACATCTCTTGAAATATCGTCTCTTAACAATTATTTAAGTAGTTAAAGAGTTCTATGCATTGAAATTCCAAGATTTTTCTAGCCTATGAGCAAGCAAGCACCTCAATCTAGAACTCTACTTCCTCCAGCGTATCCTGCCTAACTTCTGTGCTACCACTCATACACCAAATTCACTTTCTTGTTTGCTTAATCAAGAATAACAAACGTGTCAACAACCTAATCACTTAGATATTGCAGGCCCACATTGATCATCAAACAATTTGGCACTCGAAAAATATCAAGCATGATTCTTTGGTCTTGAAGAAATTTAATATTGTATGAACTTTAGTTCATCAATGTGATTACAGCTAGAAAGAAAACCTTGTTTAAGTGACTTGAAAAGATGGAATAAAAGGGTTCTGTGCTTCAAAGAATAAGTTGGGGCATGCCAAACTTTGGCTTTAATTAGTAAATTTTCAGAAACCTTAAAGCTAGACAGCTTGCATGCAACGTTACATAAAAAGGAAACCTTACTTCTGAGCAATATGCACACCATTTGATTGCAATAAGAATTCAAAAACTCTGTGTATTGGGTAGGCTGAGGCCTTCTGAGAAGAAAAAGGGAACCAACCCTTTGATTTTTTAAAACCCTACAAGTACCTACCAATGCATGAACCAAAGCTATTTTCTAAAGAACAAAGGGAACTTTTTGACTCTTATACCTTCTGCATTCTTTACATTTTCTAGTAGCTACTACCTACCACTTTTTTCTTTATCTTATATAATTTCTTGTACGCCTTATCTTTCAAGGAGAAAGAAAGTGAAGATAATAATTCTTTTCTCTAGAAAAACCCCATTAGTCATGCCAATTTTACTGTTAAGCACAAACTAAATCATAATTTAAACACTAGATCGCGAGGGTTTTACCTGTTCTGGTGTCAAAATTCTAGATGGTATCTGTTAATTAAATACATCTCACAGTAAAGTTGATTCCATCCCCCGAAAAAAACAGGTCAGATTTGTTGATGATCATTAGAAATTATATGATGGGGAAGATGAAAGTAGAAAAGGTAGCAATGAATTTTAGGTGGAATATCACTGTCCAAAAGATCTCTGTGTTTTTACCCAAAAAAAAAAAAAAGATCTCTGTGTAAATTTCAACGGAAGGTCCATGGAAGTACAAGTACTTGAGAAAAATGTAAGTGCCAATAATGCCTTAAGTCTGTTTTGGTCAATTGAGAAAGCAGAGGACCATAAGAAATTTGTTATCTCCACCACCCATTACTTCCTTGGAAGTTTGAATCCTTCAAGATTCTCCGCCCACTAGGATCATGTTAACAAAGGCTTCTTCCTACTACTATAAATACAGAACATCTTCCTTCTTGCCACTACAAACCGAAGAGAGTAACATTTGTACTTTCTTCATCTCATTACCTAAAGCCCTGTGCTTAATTTTTTTATTGTCAAAGAAGAGTTATGGGAGGCAACAGGCAGAAAAAATCCTCCTTCTCATTCTTCAGCTTGTTCAAATCGAGGAGGCCTCGCAGAGGAGATGACATGGGGGAGGATTTGTATATGAGTGCAAGAAAGGTGTGGCCTAGTGAGGAGGACAGAGGCGGTTGGGTAGCTGAGCCCGGCATCGACAACAAAGCTACTGCTTTCATTGACAGAATCCACAAGAGCATTGTCTCAGAATCTGATTGCCAAACCTTAACTGTAAACCCTGCGGGAAAGTCCTAAGAAGGAGCTATGCCTGTCTGCATTTCTTAGAGTATCATACTGTTATTTTATTCAAACAAGTTGGATCTAGTTTAGTTTGTGAATCACTATAATATATGTCATCAAGTATTTGTTTCTGTTTATCAAACCTTCTGTTTTTCTCTTTTAAGTACAGATTATGCCTACCATCATGCTTCTGTGTTTTTGTTCATTCTCATCTCTCGGTTTTCAAAATCTTCAAACTAACTGGTTTTGAGTTTCCTTAAAGGTAGTTAATAAATGACAACTTTGGCCTACTTTTCATGACATCATTCATCATGTTTTATAGTAGATTGTTATAATATAAGCACCAAGAAGCAAGGCAGTGTGGAAGTTCTCCAGTGTTTTCTTTATTAAATACAATAAAAAATAGTAGAAGAAACATGAAATAAGCAGAAGTGCAGCAGGTTCAAGATGTAAATTTGTAATGTACAATTTGATACCAATGGTTTACGTTACTTAACCAAATCTTCCCCATCTCTGCAATCAACATCGTGGTTTAAGGTTGCCTTTTGATCTGCAATCTGCAACAATCCCATGACAGGTTGTGTGTAGCATCAAATTTCACTTGATTGATGATACAGCAGCTTGGTTTTTGAGCTTGTTAAATAAACCAAATTAAATTCATGGTTAAATTGTTTGGAGGTGCAAGTACATTAAAATCTTTAAAGAACATGTAGAGTCCTTTAGATTTGTGACCCTCAACATTCCCATCACACAGCATTCTTTCAGGCATTTTCAGAACAACCATATAAGAATAAAGTTGTTGATTGACAAAAAACATAATAATAATAAAGTTGTTGTCCCCTCTAGCTCTTTAGGGACAAAGGAGGCCCGTGGCTTCAAAAATGATTCCATGCAATGGTCATATACAAGAAATTTCTCTATAGATCTTAGGGAGACGAAGGACGAGAACCAAACTCTAATGTCTTAATTCAAGCGAAATACTGGTTGAAGTCCAAATAAAGTGCCCACAAACCTTGGAATCTAACACACAGTTCCTTTAAGCTTTTTACTTTAAATAGTTGTTTTTAAAGCCTAGTACAACATGCAAATATATCTAGGCATAGTGTTCCTTCACAGACAGTAAGTACCGCTGGCAGAAATAAAAGCAGTGGTAGAGAACAAACTCCCAAAAGAAGAGGTCTGATTTGGATGATCATCATTGGAAATTATATGATGGGGAAGATGAAAGTGGAAAAGGTAGCAGTAAGTTTTAGGTGCAATATCACTATCCAAAAGATCTCTGTGTAAATTTCAATGGAAGGTCCATGGAAGTACAAGTACTTGAGAAAAATATAAGTGCCAATAATGCCTTAAGTCTGTTTTGGTCAATTGAGAAAGCAGAGGACCATAAGAAATTCGTTATCTCAACCACCCATTACTTCCTTGGAAGTTTGAATCCTCCAAGATTCTTCCCCCACTAGGATCGTCTTTACAAAGGCTACTTGCAACTATAAATACAGAACATCTTCCTTCTTGCCACTACAAACCAAAGAGAGTAACATTTGTACTTTCTTCATCTCATCACCTAAAGCCCTGTGCTTAATTTTTTTTTTTTTGTGTCAAAGAAGAGTTATGGGAGGCAACAGGCAGAAAAAATCATCCTTCTCATTCTTCAGCTTGTTCAAATCGAGGAGGCCTCGCAGAGGAGATGACATGGGGGAGGATTTGTATATGAGTGCAAGAAAGGTGTGGCCTAGTGAGGAGGACAGAGGTGGGTGGGTAGCTGAGCCCGGCATCGACAACAAAGCTACTGCTTTCATTGACAGAATCCACAAGTGCATTGTCTCAGAGTCTGATTGTCAAACCTTAACCGTGAACCCTGCGGGAAAGTCCTAAGAAGGAGCTATGCCTGTCTGCATTTCTCAGTGTATCATACTGTTTATTCTATTCAAACAAGTTGTATCTAGTTTAGTTTGTGAATCACTATAATAAATGTCATCAAGTATTTGTTTCTGTTTATCAAAGCTTTTGTTTTTCTCTGAAGTTCAGATTATGTCATGCTTCAATTTTTTCGTTCATTCTTATATGTTGGATTGGTTCTCAAAATCTTCAAACTAATGGGTTTTGAGTTTCCTAAAATATGTTAACAAGTGAACACTTTGGCATACTTTTCATGGCATCATTATTTATGTTAGCTCCAAGAAGCAAATCAGTGTGGATAAACACATGAAATAATTATTTTGGTTAATGTCCAATTTGGTACCAATGAATTATAAAATTAAGTTACTTCACCAAATCTTCCCCATATCTGCAATCAACATCGTGGTTTAAGCAATTAAGGTTGCCTTTTGATCTATCTCAAAAACCAAGGTTGCCTTTTGATCTGCAATCTGCAACAACCCCATCACAGACTGTGTGGCATCAAATTTTAATCAATTTATGTTACAGCAGCTTGGTTTTTCAGCTTGTTAAATAAAGTATCACAATAGACAGCGGTCACCTATAAGGTAGCATGTTAGACGACGGTGGTCCACCGTCGTTTAGGAGATTTTTTGTTCTAGTGATGGACCACCGTCGTCTAGGAGATTTTTTGTTCTAGTAATTGTTTGGAGGTGCAAGTGTTCTAAAATCTTTTAACAGCATATAGAGTCCTTTAAATTTGTGACCCTCAACCTCAACATTCCCATCACATAGTATTCTTTCAGGTAGTTTCAGAACAACTATATAATACTAAAGTTGCTGTCCCCTCGAGCTCTTTTGGGACAAAGGACGCCTAGGCTTGAAAAATGATTCCGTACAATGGTCATATACAAGAAATGTCTCTAAAGATCTTAGGGAGAGGAAGGACGAGAACCGAACTCTAGCATCTTAATTTAAGTGAGACACTGGTTCAAATCTAAAGAAAGTGCCTAAAAATTTGGAATCTAACACACTTCCACGAACTGTACAGCTAGCAGAAATAAAAGCAGTGGTAGAGAACAAAATACCAGACCAACCCTCCAAAGAAATAGGAGACAAATAATTGAGATCAATTTGAATCAGAAACATAGCATGTTATGCCCTGTCCAAAAAAAAAACATAGCATGTTATGCATGTTGAGTATGATATTAATAAATATTTTACCACTGTGGCATCGAGTCAAAATTAGAATCCTATGAAACAACTGGTGCAACTTGTTTTGAATCTAAATTAGTTTCAAGTAGTGAGGGCTTGTAGTTCAAGAGAATTTATTCATGCATCCGAAGCGTTAGTTTTGATTCCCTCCATTTTCAATATTGCTTATATTATATAAATAAAAACTAGTGTCAAGTTGGTTAATAGTTGATTAAATAATATTAAAGATGTTCAACCTAAGCCTCCTTTGGTGGACTAAAAGTGAGTGAAGATTGCCACTAATTTTCATGTCGTTTGGTGTGAATATTTACTATTTAGCAGTAACTGTTTTTTTTTCCATTACTATTTAGCAGTATTCGGGGGATTATTTCTCCACTTTTCTGTCCAGGCGTGTTTTATTTTATTTTATAATGACCTGGCCTAAACGACACCGTTTTGAGCCAGGTCATACCAAAAAAGAAAAAGAAAGAACGGAACTCCCCCAACGCCCAACACTCCCCCGCCCCAAAACCCAAAATCCCCAAATCCTCAGCCAAAATCTTCAAACCCTAACCCCCAATCCCGACCCAACCACCTTTGGCCGGGGTCCTGCCGCAGCGAACTCGACCATTATTTTTCAAAATTTCCAATCTTCAAGTAAGTCTTAAACTCAATTTTCCAATTGATGATGATTTATGAGTTTTTTATTTAATTGAAATGGAGTTTATGATTATTTGATTGCATGTGATTTATGATTATGAGTCATAGTTATTAGTCAGCAGAGTCTTCTTTGCATTTTTTTCAAAGTGCATTGTAGAGGATAGTTTAAAATTCTTGCATTTCAAAGTCGTTCTTAGTTAACATATACAAAGTGGAAAAAATCCCACTTCCAATTTGAGGAATTTTAGTTTCTTATAGCCTAACACAACCTCTGGTCATTAATTAGTTTTGTAGCCATCCACTGATAAATAACATCGATATCTATGACTCTCTCTATCACCATTGTGGACAATTACTAGGTGAAAAGATGAATGATAAAAAGTATTGTCATTTTACTGTGTAATATGACAGTAAAATGGTAGGTGTACCATTAGGGTTTAGGGTCCATGGTTTGTAAGACTACGTTTCGTTCCGCTAAGTACAGTTGTATGGTGGGTGCCAATTAAGGCCTAGGAGGGTCATATGACCCTTCTGACCCAATTGTAACACTTACAGTTTAGGCTTTTGTTTGCTCATTATTTTCAACTTGACCTTGAGAAAGAAGGCATGAAGCATATGGAAGTGGGTGGTAGAGCAATTGGTTTGACCTTCTACCACGTAAATGTTTTTATTCATGTTCAGTTTAATTAGCAACATCTTCCAATATTGTCTTAAAACCCATTAAATATTTTTGGAACAACAACCATCAAAGTTTTCTTATATAATTGAACTTATTCTAAAATATTTATGTAGAAAAACAATGGATACTTAAGATTTTAGGTTATTAATCTATTGTCTCATAGTTTTATTCTCTTGGCACATCCTTGTATGCATTTTTCTTCTCCTCTAAACCATCCTAGTCCAAGTCTGGTGGTGGTATGGCTTTTCCATTTATCTTGGCTAATAATGTTGCCCCTCCTTGAGAGAATTCCTGGCTACGCCACTACGTATCGTTCATTGCAAATATATGGTAGGAGTACCTGCCACATACGTATCGTTCAGTGCAAATTGAATGGTTGTCTCATTATTAAGATACTATAATTGGCAAATTGACATCTTGTCTATTGTTATTAACATGCATGTATATCCTTCATACATACCTAAATTAGTTATCGATAAAACTCTTTTGTACAATATGATCGTCGATTATGATTATACTAATAAAAAAATTTCTTACTTGCAACCCTTCTCTCATCCCATGGATGTTTATATATATATATTATATAGATTATATTTGCATGGATATTAAAAAGACTAATAAAACTCAAATACATCAGATAATAAGCCCTCGAAGAATACGAACAAACCCAACAACTACTGGTCATTAAACTTTTTAGTACATAAGATTAAAGAAAGATACACAACCTCCTGTGGTTTAAGACTAAAACCATCAACACATGCACCAAATCACTTAAAAAACACCAAAGAAACAAACGCTAGATATCTCAAGGAAAAAGGGGATTGTTAGACCAAAGACCATGATGGTATTGATCCCCAAAGGGCAGAACCTCAGCCACAGCACCAAACGCCATTTGCTCATTAGGGTTCATCATGTCTGTGAACCATGAAGGCCTCTGCATGGTGTTGCCCATGTTGCTAAGCCCGAAAGCTTGTCTCTCCATTGTTGCCTGCATGTTCAGGTTCAGGGCATGGTCTCCAGCTGCAGGCACAGCTGCTGGAGTTGGTGGGACTGGGACTGGATTTCTCTGAGCCAGCTCCTCCTTCCGGGTCTTGATCTTGTCAACAAGCTCCTTCAAGTTCTGGTCAATGAGCCACCCAAGGTCGTTCAGATCAATCATGGTCAGTCCCTGCAGAGGCTTACCAGTCAGGCTCTGAAACATGACCCTCGACATCTCCTTCTCCCGGTTCTCCTTCCTCAGCTTCTTCAGCTGCTCTTTGGCCTTCACAATCCTCTGCCTCAGAAAGGTCTCCTGGTTGACCATCTTTTTGCTCTGGTCCATCTCTGGCAGGCTCCTGAATTGTGAGACAATGTGTTGCACTCCCAAAGGGGATGGCCAAACTTCAGGGTGAGATTCATACTGGCTATAAATAATAACACATGCTTGAATATCACAAAGGGTGCTAAGTTCATTCGCCTTCTTCATCAAACCCTTCTTCCTTTTCTTGAATGTGGCTTTTCTAGCTGAGTCATTAGTGATGTAGGTCAGGCTGACCTTCTTTCTAGTCATGGCTGAAAGAGAAAAAATTGAGAGGAAAAACAATTGCAAACTAGGGAAGAAGAAGGAAAAGCCTTAGTAGCTTTAGTGGGTTTGCTTGCCCCAAACAGCCTTCGATATATATAGGAGCAGCAAGGGCTACCTAACCAATTCTAGAAGATTACGTCCTAAATAGAAATTTATTGCTCTTACAATGCAGGAGATATGAAAATCAATATAGACCATTTTGGTATATTATTACATTGCTAAGTTTATGACGGCTTACAATGGAAGAGTCAATACAAGAAGATTTGTTGTCCATGTGTGAGGGAATGTGGTTTTCACATAAATGGTAATTAAGATTGAGTTATAGGTAGGATAAATATGAAATCTCGGGTAGGCGATTCTATTTGCACAAATAAAGTAGTAAATGTGATGCAGAAAATTTAGTACTGTGAGTTGGGTGGATGCCTATGTAATATCTTCCTTTTTATTTTTTTGGAATTCATGGGACTTCTTATCCACCCTTGGTTTTATATGGAAGCTTGTCTGTTAAATTAGCGTACATACATGCATTAAAACACAGATTTTGTTGTGGCTCATTCAAATAATTAAAAGAGCTATATTTCATTCTATCTTTGGTAATTATCACTTATAAGGTAATCGAGCCCATTATGGTTTAGATTTTTTTTTGTTTCTGTTTCTCTTTTCTGTCGTGCATCTATTTTGTTGAGTCATGTCCTAACAATTAATATAATAAACGATATATCGATATATAAAGTAGAGAATACATTTTTTCTGCTATTAAAATATATATAAAGTAGAGAATACATTTTTTCTGCTATTAAAACTAATAAAAGAGACCTTCGAATGACTAAAAACTGAGATGTACTATATCTTGACAGTTTATGTTTCTAATTTTACTTTTGCCTCGTTTATGGCGGGCTACTTATGTGGAATGTGTATCAGAATTGCTCTGCTTAAAAATTATGTGGTTCCACATTAAAATCCATAAGCCAAATGTCAAAACATATGGAATCGAACAGAGTCTATTATCATTCACTTCTCTGAAATGAAGGGTTTGGGGTTTTGCAGTTGCAGGAGAAGAGGATGAGTGACAGCCTTGCGTATCCTTCTCACCGTGTTATTTGGTTCCTTTCTTTTAAATGCACTACTTTTCCTTTTCTTTCACTTCTATTGTGTTAACTTTTTTTCCTTTTTGGTAAAGAGGAGGGCTTCTATGGTATTAACTTTGTTGCATTGAATCACAGTAGAAAGAATTTCAACTTGATGTATTGAATTAATATGATTTTGCTTCAAGAACTACTAATTGTCGATCGGCTTGAAATTCTTACATTTGGGAAAGCCTTTATTATTTTGTGCATTGATCCAACTAGATTCCGACATTTCACATTTTGCATTAGCGGTCTAATTTGTGTTTTTCTAGTCTCTAGTTTTTATTGGATATAACTTATTTCGTTCATTGTTTGCACAACTTGATGCTTGATGAGAATTCACTAAACTATTCTTTTATCTTGCAGTTTGGGGTGCATCAAGCATGCAACCATGCGTTCCATCTTCATTGCATCATAATATGTGTAAATTCACAGACTTCTCAGTCACATTGCCCCATAGCAGGGAGTCGCAATTCAAAGGATGAGAGAAAAACTAGAATCACATTTGGGAAACTTGTTTGCTTGCTCCCTCTTCAAGTGCAGGGGTTGCCAATGCATGCTTGCAATTGTTTGATTGTATATGGTTTATATATATCCCTTGTCTCTCTATTGTGTATTGGTTGATGTAAACTGTGAAGTAGCTAAAAGTTTCACTTTTTAATGATTTATTGTATTCTCTATAAACCAATTGTTTGTTTATTCGGATTGATAGGGATCTCAGTGATAATAAAAATATTTATTTACCGGTAGTGCTTTTAAGATGTGGTCTTTATGTTTTGTAGAATTTTGCACCAATTAAAATACGAGGATGAGAGACAAATTGAAAATATTGACTACTTTTAGCGGCGGACAAGCATATCGTCGCATTTAGTGTTTTCCCCCACGGCTAGCGGCGAAATAATCCGTTGCTAAACACAATTTGTCTATAAAGACACTTAATTTCGTCACGAAAGGTCCAAAAACCGTCACTAGCCGTTGCAAAAACTAAAAACCGTCATTTATTACCGAATTAGCAACAATATGCTGTCTCTTTCTGTTTTTCACTAGATTTTTATTTTTCTTCTTCTAGAATACCCCAACCTTTTTAGTAAACTGCGAAAGAATAATTAGTTTCCCTTTACCGCAATATAAATCTACAAAAAAAATATATTATGGAGTGTTTTCAGTACAAAACATGATACATGTTTTTGTTCTCAGTAATCTCTTAAGCATTTTGTTTTACATAGTTGTTTTTAAAGCCTAGTACAACATACATGCATATCTAGCTAGGCATAGTGTTTCTCCACAGACAGTAAGTACAGCTAGCAGAAATAAAAGCAAAGGTAGAGAACAAAATACCAGACCAAATCTCCAAAGTAATAGCAAACACTTGTAATTATAAGATCAATTTGAACCAAAAAACAAAGCATGTTATGCATGCTGTATGTCTTATTAACGAATCTTTACCAAAAAAACAAAGCATGTAGCATTGAATCAAAACTCGAATCGGCTAATCAGACAACTTGGTGCAGCTAATTGTTTTAAATCAAAATAGTTGATTAATATTAAAGATGCTGAACCTCAGCCTGATTTGGTGAACTAGGTTGTACTTTGATTGTACTAATTTATCAGTGCTCGAGGGTACTTTTCTCCTGTCTTCCACTTTTCTCTCCCTCTGAATACCGAATGGCTCTCCTTCAACTAAACGTCCATATTCGAGACATAATTCTGTAAAGTTTAACTTTTCTAAGATCCCTTGTAAGTACCTTTTGACGGGTTCTTGTTCTTTGTTTGGACATTGATTGTTTAAAGTTCGCAGATATTTGTCAGCAGAGCCTTCTTTACATTTTGCGAAGTGCGTTGTAGAGAATAGTTTGAGATTCTTGCACTTCAAAGTTGTTCTTGATTAATATCTACAAAAGTAGAAAAAATCCCACTTCCCATTTGAGGAATTTTAATTTCTTATAGCCCTAACACAAAACCTCTTGTTAGCTAGGTAATAGTACATATGGTCCAGGATTCATGATGGGTCTAGGGTTCGAATTCGTATAGGTAGTCTCCACATCAGATAATAAATTAAATTATGTGCCTCATGAGTAGGTTACTATATATATGAACTTTAAGAGAATATATACTTTAAGTAATAAGAGACGATTTATGAACAACTTCCACAAGAGGAGAACGATAGACTACGATATGTATACCTACCATATGTATGTAACGTTGGGTACAAATATATGGTAGGTATATCTACCCTATGTATGTACATAGTATATGCCTCAGATAATAAATTGAATGGTTGTCTCATTATTAAGGTTCTATATATGGCAAATTTGTTGGCGTGATTTATGGACTATTAACTTTCTTTCCTTACACACCAAGGATTTTCATTATAATTATATTTGATTTACTTTAATTCCTGATTTCCTATTGTAAATAGAAATATGAATTCATTATTCACTTGCCTATTCAGGTTTCGCTGTATTATAAATATGACCTCCTATAAGGAGAAGAATACACAGAAAATTCCCACAAACAAATATTCTCATATTAGGTTTCATATTTTGGCATGGTATCAGAGCTGCAATCTTTGAATGGCTGACTCTAGTTTCAAACCGTCGCTGCTGCTATGGGGGTCGATAATTTTTTCAACTCTCATGTCAGTAGCACCACCGACTTATTCTCTCATTCTCAACCAACCATAGCCTAGTTGAGTGCCCAAGTGGCTCAGCTCTTACAGATACAGACTTTGACCCCGAACCCGATCTTGAATAAGGATCCTATTTTGACGACCCTGACCCCGACCCCGACAACGATGATGACAACCCCGACTTCGACTCCGATGATGCCCCCGACCCCGAATTTGTCTCTGATTCAGACCCAGATCCCGACTTCGACTCCTACTCCGGCTCAGATCCCGATCTGGATTCCTACTGAACCTGTATCCTATGCATCTTCCACTGCACAGATTATGACTTCCAGAGTAACGACCACGACACATGGACGAGATTGCGCATATTGTGGTGATCCGAGACACACTCGTGAGACTTATTTTAAATTGCATGGCTACCCCGAATGGTGGGCTACTCTCAAAGATCGAACACAACGCGATACGACCAGTAATGGTATTGGTTATGGATTCCACACTTCAGATAAGATTGATTCCAGGAGTTGGATAATTGATTCCGGTGCAACTATTCATATGACATTTGATCCTGATGATATTCTGAATACTACACAACCCCGACGAACTTGTATTGCTAACGCCAATGGAGTTACTTATCCTGTGACAGGGGCTAGCACTGTTGCACTCTCATCCTCTCTCTCACTGTCTAATACTATACTTGTTCTATCTTTATCCAACAAATTGATGTCCCGTTAGTCAGTTTATTGAACAATTGAATTGTTGTGTACTCATTTACCCAAGTTTTTATTTGCTTCAGGATATTCACATTAAGGAGATTCTTGGTCGTGGAACTAAGAGAGAGGGGTTATATTATCTAGATGACTTCAGTCCCAACATGGCTGATAGTGTGACGCATCCCTCTGATAGTAAACAAAAGAAAATCTGGTTGTGGCACCGTCGATTGGGACATCCGTCTTTTAGTTATATGAAGCATCTTATACCAGATTTATTTTCAAGTTTCAAGGACTCTGACTTCACAGGTAACACTTGTACTTTGGCCAAGAGTCACTGTGTGCCATATCCGTTGAGTACGAACAAGTGTACTACTCCGTTTGAGTTAATTCATTCTGATGTCTGGGGACCTTCACCTATCACTGCTCTTTCTGGAGTTCGGTGGTTTGCCACATTTGTAGATGATTGTACACAGATGACATAGCTTTATTTACTGAAGAATAAAAATGAAGTGTTTTCCCGTTTTCAGTTCTTCCACAAACAGATGAAAACTCAGTTCAATGCTCAAATACAGATTCTTTGCTCAGACATTGGTGAAAAATTTGTCAATCATGACTTTCAAGCTTACTTCCAACAACATGGAATTATCCATGAGACGACTTGTCCTCAGACACTACGACAAAATGATGTTGCTGAACGAAAGAATCGACATATTCTTGAAACAGCCCGAACACTTCTGATTGGCGCTCATGTTCCTCGCCATCACTGGGATGTTATTGTCACCGCAGTTCACCTAATCAACCGCATGTCTTCTAGTGTATTGACTTTTAAAACTCCTTACAAGTGCTTGCACAACATGGGCTCATGCCCTCTGTTTTGGTACTCACACCCCGAATATTTGGATATGTGGCTTTCGTTTATCTCTACAAAAATCAATGTAGAAAACTTGATCCATGTGCACTTCGTTGTGTTTTTGTGGGTTTTTATGCCACTTATAGAATTGGAGCAACTTGGAAAACGAAGAAATTCTTCTCTGTACAAAAATGATCGATCGTCCCAAGTCTGAAGCACGAGATTACTTATCTGTCGAAAAGCGATCAATCGACCATTCATAGCGATTAATCGCCTGACCCACCTGATCCCTGTGAAGATGTTTCTGATTCGAATCTCACACCTACAGACAATACAGAACAACAAGATGAAGACCCCTCTTCTAGCTCAACAGTACCAACAGACCAATCTCTTGAGAATATCCTTGAGGTAACTACTTCTATTGCACTTATGAATTTAGAGGATAAATTTATTGGATACCAATTACCTTTCAGGCAGAATCGTGGAAAGCTACCAAATCGTTATTCACCTGATATTGGCAAGACATCAAAGTATCAAATTGCGAATCATGTATCCACTGAGAAGCTGTCTGAACCACTCAAGGCCTTTGTGCATCAGTTGTCTGCTATTCATATTCCAACGAAGGTTGCTGAACCATTTAAAGATCTTAAGTGAGTTCAAGCTATAAAGGAAGAGATGAAAGCTATTGAGAAGAATCAGACTTGAGAACAACAAGATGAAGACCCCCCTTCTAACTCAACAGTACCAACAGACCAATCTCCTTAGAATATCCTTGAGGTAACTACTCCTATTATACTTGTGAATTTAGAGGATAAATCTATTGAATACCAATTACCTTTCAGGCAGAATCGTGGAAAGTAGGGGTGGGCATCTAAAACCGAAATACCGAAATCGTACCCTAACCGAACCGTACCGTACTGATTTCATACCGTTTTATTTGGTATGGGGAGATTTTTGGTACCGTACCGTACCGTACCAATAAAGAATGGTACGGTAGCGGTATCAAGTTTTTGATACCGGTTTAAAACCATACCGTACCGAATAGTAATATTGAAATATAATTTTGACAGAAACACGCTGTCTCTCACTCCAAAGCCAAACCCTCTCACTCACTCACTCTGACAGAAAGAAGAAACGCTCTCGCTCGCTCTCACTCTCAAACTCGCTCTCACTCCATACCCAGACCAGACCTAACTCTCTGTCTCTGTCTCTCTCTCAATCTCACTCGATTCAAGCTCTCTCCAAGCCAAATCCTTCTCATCTCATCTCGATCTCTCACACGATTCAAGCTCTCTCTGTCTCTCACTCTCTTAAACTCGATCTGTCTCACTGTCAGTCTCTAGATTCAAGCTCTCTCTGTCTCTCACTCTCTCAAACTCGATCTGTCACTGTCAGCTCTCTAGCAGCCCCAAATCGACGAAGGGAGAAATGGTAATTTTGTTGTGATTTTGTTAATTTATTTAGGGTTAATGAAATATTGTTGATTTCTGTTATTTTTGTTAATGTTAGTCTCTGGATTTCTTGTGCTGTGTCTTTAGTTGTAGAGAATTTCCCTTGATC